AGATTTTGTCAGAATTACATAACATTTTCATTGTGTATGGGCAAGGTTCTAGAGGTCCCAGGTCTTTGCAGTACAGAACAAATTAGACTTCTGTCTTGAACAGCTATGGGTTTAGTCTCCCATCCACCTACTCTTTAAGGTTATGAATGTCAAAGCTTGTGGTCATCCAGGCTCAGCAGAGTTTTTCTGGTAATAAGGTCAGTGGCTCAATACATCCCTCTTATTTCCCATTTTGACTTAGTTTCAGCCATGGAAGATTGTTTTCCTTGTTTACCAACTCATCACTGCATTCCAAAAATACTTCGATATATTGTACATTTACATTATTTTTCAACTGGTGATTTGGAAATAGTAATCAATCCCCCACAGAGTTTAATGCCCTGTGATTGTTTACTTTTCTGGTTCCCCCCTGCCCCCCATTCTGAGCTTTTTAGGGTCGGTGCTGGGTCAGAGTTACTGTGTCCCTAATGTCCACACTGAACCAGAGTAATGGAGGATTTTGAATGATATTTTTGGATAAAGGAATTTTGTTTGCACAACTGCTTCTTACTTTTTCTTATCTAACTTTGATTTCTGCTTACAGAGTTCTGTGCCCTGCACTAACAAACAGAGATCAAACATTTTCTGCTCCCCTAAGTACAAAGCCTACAGCAGGGTTCTTTTGAATGACCAGGGAATTCTGGGCTGCATCTGCAAGAGACAGAAGTGTAAGGCAATCAACTCTAGAGTTGGAGAAATTTAGATTCAAAACCCAGCTATACCACTGTTAGCTGCAAATTTGAGTAAATGACATTACTTTTTTAAACAAGTTTCCTTTAAGTTAGGATTCATTGGCCTCTTCTCAGGATTAATATATATGTATAAGATACCAGGAACTTAAAGTGATTAATGCACAAGAATTGTACTTGAGATATAATGAACATTGCCTATCAGCAGTAAGGCTTCAGTGTAGGTGTGAGAGGGAATAATGTCAGGCAGGAAATCCATGGTTGATCTTGATCGGGAACCAGGATATGCTGCCTATGAGGATTCTGAGCATCGTGGGTCATATAAAGCCATTGCAATCTGCATGTAGGTAGTTGATTTCTGCTTTGGCTGCTCAGGGCCCGCTGATCTTGGTGGATTGTTTGGCTCAGTATTGGTGACTCTGGACAGGGTCTTTGTGGGTGGAGGTTTCAGTTTGAGTTCTGGGATAGGGGAACAAAGCCATCCCATAAGGGAGTTACCTTATGCACTGAGTCTATTAACTCTTGGGTGGTTGGGCAGAAACCATTGTCTGTTGCAAATACCATTGTCTAGGGCTGGGCCTGCCCAAGTATCCTGTGTTACTGGGCCTGAGGACTCCTGTCAAGTCTTTAGGGTGCCTCTGTTGACGGAAGAGACCTGGTTCTTCTTGCTGACACATGTAAAGAATTACATATCAGCAAATCTAGTAGTATGTAATTAGTTTATTAGTGGTCCATTTCCATGGAAGAGAACAGGACTGGGTAGAGTAGGGGGTGAAAAGCAAGGTTTCAGGGCAGAGCAGGGTGAGGAAAGTGATAGAGGCTGGAGACCAGAGTGGCAAGCCCCTGGGCCACCTAAGGCCAGGTGGCCAGAGGCCCTGTGGCCTGAGAGCCAAGGGCCCCTGAGAGAGAGAGAAAGTCCTTTGTTCTCAGGACTTAATATAGTTGGTGGGATAGGAGGGGAAAAAGTTACATTTTGATTAACAGGTAAATGTGGCACCAGCTTTCCTGGGGAAATGTGACTACCCAAACTTAGGTATATGTGGGGGTCTGTTAGCCTGAATCCTTATCTTGCTCCAGACCCCCTTTGTTCATCTTGTTGTAAAACAAATATGTGACATGAGGCAGTTAATTAAAACTGGGGCATTTTCCAAAGTTATTTATGGGCTCTTTCTGTGAGCATCGGGGGACTCCCTCCTAAAACAGATAGTGACCAGAGGTAGGCAATTAACCAAAGTTGTTTTATGGGCTCTTTCTGTAAGCACCAGGGACCCTCTCCCACATTCAGGCCTTGGGATAAAAGCACAGTTTCGAGGCTTTCTTTCACAGATAGTGGAAATGTTACATAGAATTTCAAGGACTTTCCTTCTTTCTTGCTAATACAGTGTTTCTTGTGATTTTGGAACACCTGGCAATATTATTCCACCAGGCTCAGAACTGCTGAGTTAGCATGTGAGACTTGTCTCCTTCCTCCTCCCTGCCTTGGTTTACTATTTATTCTACCTAATTGGTAAAAGCCATTTCCTGGCAACCAGAGTGCTAAATGCTGGCCAGTGACAGTATTGCAGTCTCAGAGTTCTTCCTATGCTGTCTCCTGCTTCACCTCTATAATTGAAGAGGTCAGTGTCTTCTAGAATGTAGAACAAAGGTCTGCCCAGGAGAGTTCAGAACAGGCCCTTCTGGGCTCAGATTAGCTCCTGATGGTGAGAAGGTTGTTTCTTCTAACATATCATGTACAGTTGGATTGTGTGTGTGTGTGTGTGTGTGTGTGTGTGAGAGAGAGAGAGAGAGAGAGAGAGAGATGGGGTGCCAAAAGCAAAAAGATTGGAACAGGGTGTTACAGGGTGCAGTCAAGAGGGGGTCCCCATATAGGGATTTGGAATGGGGCCCAGAACTCAGGGTGTCCAGAAAATATTAGAAAGACATATATGATGTCCTCTCCCCTTCCCCCTTCAGGTGTGAGTTGGGGGAAGGGACAAATGGAGCAGGGCCTTTGAGAGCTGTTTTGTGTAGCAACAGTTTTGCAGCTAACCTCTGGAGTGGTTATTTAACATATCTATAACCTTTAACTGGTTATTCCCAGTTAGTACTCCATCTTGACTGGGAGACCTCCCTGGGTTCCTGGCACCCTCAGCTGAGTCGCCAGGATCTCTGCTAAAACCAGGTGGTGGTTCCCTCTTCTAAAGTTGCAGGGGTCCCCACTCTGGCAAAGGCATGTGGTCCTCTCTCCCAGGGCCACGGGAGTGCCCACTCAGCCAAAACCACGTGCTTCTCCCCACAAAGCTATGGGAAGGGGGAGTCCCCGCTCTGCCAAAGAAGCGTGGTTCTCTCCCTCAGGGCTGTGGGAGTCTCCACTCTGTCAAGGCTGCGTGGTTCTCTCTTCAATGGCTGCCGTGTCAGGGTTTAAATCCCCGCGCCAATCTTCCTCTGCATCCCCATTTCCAACTCCTCCTACAATCAGCTACACATGCCAGCACTCATATCCTTCCAGCTTTACTGGGCTGCCATGATGAGTCTGGGCAGGCGTGGCCCCATGTCATGGAGCCAATCATCTCTAAGCTCCCACGCAAGTGCTGTAACTCGGGGGACCTGCCCCCCAGTTACATCTTGGTGGGGTAGTTACTTCCATTCCCCTGGCTCAGAGCCTGGCCACAGCTATTTAACATATCTAAGCCACCAGCCAAAGGCTATAGATATGTTAAATGACCACACCAGAGGTTAGCTACAAGGCTGTTGCTATGCGAAAGAGCTCTCAAAGGCCCTGCTCCATTTGTCCCTTCCCCCAACCCACACCCTGGGGGGTGGGGGTGAGGACATCCTAAAATCTCCTAGACACCTTGAGTTCTGGACTCCATTTTAAATGCCTATTTGGGGGGTCCCCCCTCTTGGCTGCACCCTGTAACAAGGGGAGAGGAGAAAAATTCATTGTCAATCCTTTGGGGACTGTGAGGTCAGTCTGGTGACTCAGAGCTGCTTTTGCTTCTTCCTTTTTTGTCTTTTCAAGTTCTGCATTTTCTAGCATGAACCCAGGATGCAAATGATTATTTTTTTCAACTCTAAAAGCCATTATACATATGAATTGATATTTATCTTGTCTTTCATTGAATGCATGTTTTATCTTAGGAAATTTAACAGTGGATTTCTTTTTCCTGAAAATTACTGCTTCCCTGAGCCCATCAAGGAACTTGCTCCCCAGCTCTTCCCATTCCAATGAACAATGCTACCAAGGGCTGCTTTCTCTCTGTTCTCTAACAAATGTTTAGGTATTCATTTTGCATACCACTTAGCTTTCCTTAAGTGCATATCCTTCCACCAGAAGTATGATGGAGTAGGAAAAACAACCCTTGCTGGGAAACATATACTTCTTTTGTTAGGGCTCTGATTTAATAAGTGGAGATGAGTTGGCTAAGTGGGATCCTATGTCCGAAACTTGGGTTTTCCAATTATATAAGAAGGTAATTGATATAGATTTGTTGCAGATTCAATATTTGTCCATACCTCTAGCACTCTGAGATTTTTAAGACTTGGGGATATGATAGATTTCATGTTCGGAGTTATGTGATATTCCAAGGAATTGATGCCGGATAGGCATCATAAGTGGATCCATTTTGAAATTATGTAGTGTATGTTTTTCTTGGGTTACATCAGTGTGAGTCTGGATCTTCCTCCATCAGTTCTGGTAGCTCAGGGACAAGGAGAATACAGTTAGGGATAATTTATGGTAACAGGAATAATATAGCCAGATATATAAATTGTTGAGGACTATGACTCTCATATCTGCAAAAGAACCTTAATGAGCTTGTCCAACCTACTGCTCCAAAATAATAACATTGAATACATAAGGATGGGGTGTCATACCACCTATAAAAATGATGTCTGGTTCAGACTTTTTTTTTAACTTCTTTATTGTGAAAATGGGAAGGAGATGATCCCAAGTGTTATGTTCTGAACATAGAGAGTGCTGTGTACTTCAGTGTACAGTTTTATTTAATTGGGAAACACCAGTTATACAGCCTTTATTTATTCCCAGACTTGGGTGGATAATGGAAGAGGATAATGCCAAGAGGTTATATTTATAGTTGCAAGCATGTTTAAGAATGATGTGTGCTCTGATCACTCTCATTCTCATACTCACCCATCCATGTTGAAGGGTCCGGCATAGCCTCTTTTCCCAACAGTGTTCCCTTACTGAATTGCTTTCTCTATTTTCTTTTATTCTATCATAAATATTCTGTCCATTAATTTCACAAATAGTATATTCATCTGTGGTTTCAGAGCTTGAAGTTCAAAGATGTGGCCATTTTCTTCTCTCAAAAGGAGTGGGAATGCTTGCACTCTGCTCAGAAGGATTTATACCGAGCTGTAATGTTGGAAAATTATAACAACTTGATCTCACTGGGTAAGTTTATCTGCCCCTCAAAATTCAGAATTTGCCTTCTGGAATGTTTATGTTATTTGTTATCAATTTCTTGTAAGTGGTTTTTCAAGTGCCTAGCTGAATTAATAATTCTTGCTTACCAAAGAATGGTTGTTTCTTGCGAAATTAAAAATTAGTTGCTCCATTTTACAATTTTATCTTTTTCATTCCTCTGACCTTCACCTTTAATCTACCTACTCCTCTTTCTTGATAATCATGGACTGATTTCATTTCTGAGATACCCACAATATACCTTTGTCCCCTTTTTTACCTTGAATAGGACTTTCTGATTCTAAGCCGGATGTGATCTCCTTATTGGAACAGGGGAAGGAGCCCTGGATTGTTAAAAGGAAGGAGACAAAAGAGTGGTGCCCAGGTGAGTGATGGTAACTAATATGGAGAAGGCCATGACAGGTGGGTCACATAGCTGAGCTGTGAGAAGGCAGCACTTCTGAGATTTTGGGAGGACAGCTCTGTGAAAAGGCCTGAGATCTGGAAAAGAAAGGAAGATGTTTCATCATGAGACCTCAAATTTTTTACTTCACTTAATACTCTTTTGCACCTTTTCCTCATATTTCCCTCTGATTCCATGAAGGAAGTGCCTTCGTCCTTCTCAGGAGACAATCATTTTCTCCATACTTTGGGTCCTGTTTTATCCCGACTTTTTGAAACAACTCTATTGAGATACAATTCATTTACTGTAAAATTCACTTATTTAAAGTATACTTCGTTGGTTTTTAGTAAATTCAGAGTCTTGCAACTGAGACAATAATCTTAGTGTAGAACATTTTATCATCCCAAATGATACCTCATTCCTTTTAGTAGTCACTACCCACACTTAGACCTAGGCAACCACCAATCTACATATAATCCTTTTTTATTTCTGTAAGGTTGGTGGTGATATCTCCTCTTTCATTCCTAATATTTTTATGAGTCTTCTCTCTTATTTTTCTTGGTCAGTCTAGCTAAAGGTTTGCCAGTTTTATTGATCTCTTCAAAGAATCATCTTACAGTTACATTGATTTTCTCTATTTTGTAGTCTATTTTGTTCATCTCCCTCTAATCTTTATTATTTCATGTCTTCTGATTATCTTTGGTTTAGTTTGCTCTATTTTATATAGTTTATTAAGGTGTATAATTAGTTTATTAATTTGAGATTTTTCTTTTTTCATATAGGCATTTTAAGCTATTAATTTCCTTGTAAGATCTGTTTTAGCTGTGTTCCATGTGTTTTGGTATCCTGACTTTTTCTTTCAACCAAATCAAAAGTATTTTCCAGTTTTTCTTATGATTTCTTCTTTGATCTGTTAGTTATTTGAGTATGCTGTTTTTTCTCTCCTTATGGATCTTCTGGCTAGTTTATCTATCTGTTATTGAAAATAGGGCATTGAATTGTCGAATTGTCTTTCTCTTCATTTCTGTTAGCATTTGTTTCATGTATTTTGAGGCTCTTTAATTAGTTGCCTGTATGCTTATAGGTGGGGGAGCTTTGCCCGCAGAGCCCCCTGTCCACCATGAATGAGAATAATTCTACCAAGACATGATCTGCTTGGGAGCCTTTCCCTCAGTGGGCTTTTATTGGGTTCAATTTGCACAGGAATACAGGTAAAGCTCATCAGTCATTGTCAGGCAGTAAGGATCAAACAACAGATAACATACAAAGAACTATGAGGGCTTATTTTGAGTCGGGGTCAGTTAGCTAAAGGGCTATAAAACTTTGGAAAAGAAACGCATTTCATGCTTGGAACCTTATCATTTAAGTTGAAGATATTCTTAGCAAAGCAGGTTTCACAGGATCTTATGCATTCTTTCTTAGGCCTGATCACCCTCGGGAACCACCCATTCCTGCCTGGGGCTGCACTACCCTCCAACATTGTTTCAGGCCTAAGTCAGGCAAGGGAAGTAAGGCAGCCAAGAGAGTAGGAGACTTCTCACAAACAGAATGAGGACTCAGGCTATGTCAAAGCCAAGGGGCGAAGGTCCATCACCCCCTTTTTCTATAGCCCCCCAGGTCCTTCCCTAAGGGCCCCTTTGTGACCATGCCTGTTTTAGGTCGTCCCTCCCTTGAGAAATCTTACCGGTCTTTGGCTAACCAGTCATCTGCTCGGGGCCAAGTAGGGTGAAGTAAAAGAGGACAGAGACAGCACCCTTGCCAGGGAGGTAAGCTTTGTCTCCTTAGTGGCTTATGGTCCAGGGAGTTACAGCTTCTGAAACCAGGCAGGGTGGTTCCCAACACTCATGACTTATAATTTCCTGAGACTGACCTTCTTACTACAAAATGTTTTTTTCTAGTTGCAATTTTTGTCATAATGTCTGTTTTGTCTGATAATAATATACCTGTTGAAGCTAACTTTTGATTAGTCTTTGCATAGTATGTCTTTTCCATCCTTTCAACCTTTTTGTGTCCTATAATTGAGTGTGTCTCTTGTAGATAGCATATACTAAGATCATGTTATTTTTATACCTCCTGCCTATATCTGCCACCTGTTTGAGTACTTAATGTTTACATTTAATGTGATTATCAATAGGGTACGATTTATGTCTGACATGGTGTTTGTTTTCTACATGTGTTATTTTTATTTTATACTTCATTCTGTCATTACTGTAATTTATATTAAATATATGTTTTCTAGAGTCCCAGTTTAGTTTTGATTGTCTTTTACTATCATTTTTAGAGTTATTTTCTCAGTGGTTGCCCCCCAAATTTCAATTACATCTTAATTTAAAACAATTTAGTTTGGATTAAATCATAAGTAAAATCATAAGTAAATTAATCGTTGGTAGGCAGAGTAATGACTCCCCCAAATATATCCATATCCTAATCCCTAGAACCTGTAAATGTGTTGCCCTTACAAGGCAAAGAGGAATTAATGTTGTGAATGAGCAGGCCTTCTATTAGGGACCCTAGATTATCCACCTGGGCTCAGTGCAATCACAGCATCCTTGAAAGAGTCAGAGTTGTGACAACAGAAGAAATGCACACAAAGATACAATATGCTGACTTTGAAGATAGAGGAAGGGAGCCATGATGTGCTAATAAAATAAGCATTCCTTAGGAGTTGGAAAAAAACAATGAAATAGATTCTTCCTTTGAGCCTTCAAAAGAGAACACAGTCCTGCTGTGGACACATTTATTTTAACCTATTTTAACCTATTATTTTAACCTATTAAACCCTCTGTCAGACTTTTGAATTCCAGGACTATAAGATAATAAATTTGGGTTGTTTTAAGCCACTATGTTTATGTTAATTTGTTATATCAGAAATAGGAAATTAATATACCATCAACACATTTTTATAATTATTGCTTTATATGGTGATCTTTTAAATCAGAAGAAGCAAAGAGTTCCAAACAAAAATACTTTTATATAATTTTATATTTCTCTATCTACTTACCTTTACTTGGGTTCTTTTTTTGTGGATTCAAGTTATCTCTTGTTCTTTAATTTCAGCCTAAGTCCCTTTAGGCCAGTATAGTGGGTGCATGGTGAGTGAAGGTGAGAGCACCTTAAAATGAAGATGAATAGGAAGCAGGTTCCAGACAATGCATTTTTGCTGGTCTAGTAAGGAATTTTTTATTGGGTTGGCCAAAGCTTTGTTGTTGTTGTTGTTGTTGTTGTTGTTGTTGTTTATAAAATGGCTCTAATAGCACTTAGTTTTCTTCAATTTCATTTGAAACAATTTTGTTAGATTGTATTGTAACAATTGTCATATCAGCATGCATTTTTAAAAAGCTTATCAAAATTGGTGAATTTTTTTAGTATATTTTATCAATTATGCTATTACAGTTGTCCCGTTTTTTCCCCCTTCACTCCCCTCCACCCTGTACACCCTCTCCCACCCATATCCCCCCCTTTAGTCATGTCCATGTGTCATACTTACAAGTTCTTTAGCTTCTACATTTCCCATACTATTCTTACCCTCCCCCTATCTATTTTCAAGCTACAATCTATGCTACTTATTCTCTGTACCTTTTCCCCCTCTCTTCTCCTCCCACTCCCCTGTTGCTAACCCTGCATGTGATCTCCATTTCTGTGGTTCTGTTCCTGTTCTAGTTGTTCACTTAGTTTCTTTTTGTTTTAAGTGTGGTTGTTAATAATTGTGAGTTTGCTGTCCTTTTACTATACATGTTTTTTCTTTATCTTCTTTTCTTAGATAAGTCCCTTTAACATTTCATAAAATAAGGGCTTGATGATGATGAACTCTTTGAACTTGACCTTATCTGAGAAGCACTTTATCTGTCCTTCTATTCTAAATGAAAGCTTTGGGGGATAAAGTATTCTGGGATATAGGTCCTTGTCATTCATGACTTGGAATATTTCTTTCCAGCCCCTTCTTGCCTGTAAAGTCTCTTTTGAGAAATCAGCTGACAGTCTGATAGGAACTCCTTTGTAGGTTACTGTCCCCTTATTTCTTGCTGCTTCTAGGATTCTCTCCTTCATTTTTACCTTGGCTAATGTAATTATGATGTGCCTTGGTGTGTTTCTTCTTGGGTCCAACTTCTTTGGGGCTCTCTGAGCTTCCTAGATTTCCTGGACGTCTATTTCCTTTGCCAGAATGGGGAAGTTCTCCTTTATTATTTGTTCAAATACGTGTTCAATCTGTTGCTTTTCCTCTTTCCCTTCTGGTACCCCTGTAATTTGGATGTTGGAATGTTTAAAGATGTCCTGGAGGTTCCTAAGCTTCTCCTCATGTTTTGAATTCTTATTTCTTCATTCTTTCCTGTTTGGTTCTTTTTTCTTCCTTCTGGTCCACTCTATTGTTTTGAGTCCCAGTTTCCTTCCCAACACTATTGGTTCTCCATGCATCTTCCTTCATCTCTTTTATGGTAACCTGCATTTTTTCATGTAATTTGCGCCCAAAATCAACCAATTCTGTGAGCTTCCTGATCACCAGTGTTTTGAACTGTGCATCTGATAGATTGGCTATCTCTTGGTCACTCAAAAGGATGAGCCCTGGGGCATTGATCTGTTTTTCTGTTTGAGACTTGTCTCTCTCTCTCTCTCTCTCTCTCTTTTTGTCTGGTCGCTCCTGTTATGGTGAGGGGCGGAACCTTAGGTGTTCACCAGGGCTGGGCACCCCAGTCGCTAGATTGTGATGTTGTATGTGGGGGCGGGGGCGGGGGCAGGGGCGGGAGGGAACAATGGCGGTAGCTCCGCTCTCTTGAGACCACAGTTCCTTCCCTGGGATCCTGGGCTGCGCACTCTACCCCAGTCCACAATCGTCGCCTCACTGGGTCCGCCAGCTGCCACTCATGTACTCAGGTTCAACCCTCTGCGATCCTGCGTGACCCGGAAGCCTCACACGCTCCCCGTTGCCTTATGCACCCACTGCTCTCCACGTTCCTCAACCCACGCTACACCTCGGCCCAGCTGCT